GTCTATTCCTGTTGTTGTGTTTTATGTTTTCTCTGTTTTCACACATGACCACTACTGACATTTACTTGTTGCTTTACATTACCATTGCATAAATCTAAAGCTCTGAATGTTGGCCCTATATATAAATGCTAATAATATATTCACTGTAAAATAAGGAATATTTTTTTTTTATATCAGTGCTTGTGGGTTTAGTACAGGTCAGTTATTTAGCACATGGAATTCTTTTATCACTAGGCAAATTATTTGTTTCATGTGTGTGAACAGACCTGTTCCATTAACCCATGATCCACGGTAATTCAGCCATTTCTTAAAAAAACTTTTTTTTTTTTTTTTTTTTATAGCTAAACTCTAATTTGTACATGCATCCAAAATAAACACCGATACCTGGCTTTAACTAAAGGCAGAGCTCTCAGAAAATCCACAGCTCTCTTACTTTTCCCTAATTGAAGGGACACTTCAAGCACCATAACTATTTCTGCTTACTTTAGTGGTTATGCTGCATGCACTCTGTTCCTGTACTTACATTTCTTCAACACAAAATTTATCATCTAAGATAAAGATCATTCATGGATCAATGGACCAGTTACTGTGATGAAGAGTCACACTGGCCTTTTTTTATTGCTTTGTACCCTCACTTTGCTGTTTTTATTTAAAACACACAAGATCCAGTGGACTCACTCATTCACTAAACAGAAATTTAAAAACTCCCAGAATGTAGTAGTTTAAAAAAACAAACAAAAAAAACCACACTTAACCTAGGCAAAAATATTGGGGGTTTAGTTACAGTATTTAATCATACATTGCATAAGCCTGCCGCAACACCAGTGTACCCCATTTTTGGCAATTTCTACCCTAGCAACATAATTTCTGTTCTTATGATATTTTTAACCAAGTTACTTGGGAATCCTTCCTCCTGGGGCTCTTTGCAGAGCAATGTTCAATAGGGCCCTGGAATGATGTGCCTGTGACAGGGAGTGGTGCAAAACTGGGATGTTGGTCTGGACTCCCAGGACTGCACCATAAAGCCAAGAGCGCTCACCTGAACAATACATTACAAGGGTGCTGCCTGGGCCAATTCATACAACATCCAAGATCCGGCACACTCACTCATTCACTAAACAGCAATTTTAAAGCTCATAGTAGTAGTATTTTTTTTTTTTTTTAAACTCCTAAACTAGACAAAAATAATGGGGGTTTAGTTAAAGTAAATGATTAAACATGCAAATTTTTTAAAAGCCTGTTACTGTTGTCCAGACTTAAATAGGATGTTGCTGGATAATTGAATTAATTTAAAAGGAACACTATAGTGTTAGGAACACAAACTTGTATTCCAAATGCTATAGTGTCTATCTCTCTCACTCTAGATAGGTGCCCCTCTGTTTTCCATAAAAATACTAAAAAACAAACCCAAGTTTTACTCACCTGTTTGCAGCGCTCAGGCTGCCTCTGCACCGTTCACGTCTCCTCCTGCTGCATCATTGAGTAGGTATGGCCTCCTCTGGTGTGGTCAAGTCCAATGCTAATACAGTGCTGTGTGCACATTTAAACAGTCCCACAGGAATGCATTGAATCAATGCTTTCCTGTGGGGATTCTGCGTCATGTGACGTTTTGCTCGGTCTGTGCAGCGAAAGCGCCTCTTGTGGCTGTCATATTGATAACCACTAGAAGAGGGCTTAACTCTGCAATGTAAATGTTGCAGTTTTAGAAAAACTGCACTGTTTTTTACATTGCGGCGTTAAAAGGACAGGGACAACGAACCTACACCACTTCATTGTGATGAAGTGGTCTGGGTTATTAAAGTGTTCCTTTAATCACAGTGGTTTCTATAAGATGAACTTTATGATTAAAGCCACACTGTCACAGTCTGGGGACTTTACATAATTTGCAAAGACCCCCCAATGGTGACATCGACACTGGTGGACCTGTCACTGGGCAGGGAAAGATGAGATAAACTTACCTGAATTTGTCCCTTGCAGGTGCCAATATTTTCGTCTGGCCCATCCTCTTCTGCTCCTGGCACTTCAGCGCCAAAAGACTACGTCCATTGAGGTCTATGGATGATCCTGCAAGACTGCGGGTTCTTCCATAGATACAGCTAATGTCTCTGCAGCCATCACTTGTGAGGGCTGGGAGATTGACACTTTTAAACGGCAGTAGCTCCACCCAGTGTCTAGACGTTTGAGGCGTAGTAAAAATACTGAGGAAAAAGCAGTCCCTACTTTGTCTTAGTATATCTTTTGACTCTGTTGTAATTTCAGTGAAATACAGTCAGTATGAATATTTTAATTGGTTTTCCCCCTAGTGTTTGGGATTCTACGTAATGCTGGACAGCACTTCTTAAACAACAGGTTTATACGTTGGTATATAAAAGGCCTTTTTTAGCTACTATCTTGCATCTCTACTCAATGTTTAAGGAACACTTTAGTGTTCGGAATACAAGGATGTATTCCTAACACTAAAGCGTTCCTCTGCCCTCGCGGTTAAAACCCCCTTTATTAAATTTACCTGATTCCAGTGCCTATGTCCCTCGAATCTGGGCATTGGCATTTCCAATAGTAAAGCATTCAATCAATACTTTTCTATGGGGGTTTTGCTTGACGCTGGATGTCTTCATGCAATGGGCGAGGACCTCCAGCTTCGTTTAACAGAGTCAAACTCTGTATACCTGCAGGAAGCATCTCAACTACTAGAGGCAGTCTTTTCACTGCAATGTAAACATGGCGGTTTCTCTAAAAGGGGACTTCAATGAGATGAAGTGGTCTGGGTGCCTATAGTGTCCCTTTAACCCTTTCTGAGAGGGGCTGTGAGTTCACTCTGGTTTATTTTCCCTATCTGAGATTTTCATCCACCTATTAATACCTCCCTTTAAAGAAAAAGTTCCATTGAAAAGGTCCCTTATAGCAGCATTTTTGTTGCCGTTGCTCTGCTGCATATATAGATCTCAGTTTTTATCAATAACATGTAGCGTACTGCAGTGCTTGCAATGACTATGTCTGAGTTTGAGATTCAGGCGCTGTACTTGCTTGCTTTTAGGAAAAATAGACTTTTAACTTATGGAGTATTGATTAATCCAGCATTCATAAAATGAATAATTCATAATGAGCCTTGTCCGTTTTGGCAAGAATAAAACTCTGTCCTAGTTGTGAGGATTTTTGCTTACCTGAAGTTGGGAATTCAGGTCTGGTGTGCAATACTAGTATATATTTAAAGTGGAGATCTCACTTCCCAGGATTACCCTTGGCTCTCTGTCAAATATAGTAATAAATGTTACCCGTTACTTCCTTCTGTAACACATTCAGTGGTTATAAAAATGTGTTTTCTTTTTCTAAAAGTTTGTGCATGTGTCTACTTGCACTCAGTAAGTTTTGTACCTTTTTTGTTACATTAATTCTTTTGCTGTAATTTGTTCAAAAGGACACTATAGTCACCAATACAACTTTTGCTTTTAAAGGGAAACTATAGTGCCAGGAAAACAAACTTTTTTTCCTGGCACTATGGCTTACCCCTTTGTCAAGGCCACCCACTCCCTCCTCCCCTCCGTGGTTCAGAAGGGGTTAATAACCCCTTCTGTCACTTACCTGGGTCCAGCACCTTGTCCCTCTGCGCTAACTCAGCTCTGCCCATGCTCCTCCGACATCCGCTGGCTGGGGAGACCTAATGCGCATGCGGGGCAATGGCCTCACTCGCATTAGGATCTCTCCATAGGAAAGCATTATCCATGCATAGCGTGAGGACATCCACTCCCTTAACTCCCTCTAGTGGCTGTCTGGTAGAGTTTTATATTTATTTAAGGGGTGCAAGGGGGTTAGGCTGGGCAGCTGATCTATGTTTGTGTTCCTGACCCTATAGTGTTCCTTTAAGCTGAAGTTGTTTTGGTTATGATAGTGTTCATATAAGTATATTTTATGACTAATTGTATAATTTTAATACATCCAGGGTTATTCACTAAAGTGAGAATCCATAGAAAATTTCACATTTAATGCCAGAGTAGTTGATAGAGAGTATATTTCCATTTTGGCTATTTTGACCTTAAATTTTACATTCACCTTGCATCCTCACTTTAGCGAATAACCGTGATTGTGAGATAAAGGATTTTGTTTGATGTGCACTCTTGCATACTCTTTCTAGCTGTGATTTAGCCAGCATTGAGCAGTGCTTAGTTAGCATAGGGCCCAGTATTGTGTTTCATTGCATGCTCTCCTGCTTTTGTTGCATAATTTAATGGGTAACTCAGAATGCCTGATAGTAAGTGTTGGTGGTGACAGTGAGGTGTTAAAGGACCACTATAGTGCCAGGAAAACATACTCGTTTTCCTGGCACTATAGTGCCCTGAGGGTGCCCCCACCCTCAGGGACCCCCTCCCGCCCGGCTCTGGAAGGGGGAAAGGGTTAAAAACTTATCTTTTTCCAGCGCTGGGCGGAGAGCTCTCCTTCTCTCCTCCTCCGTTCCTCCTCCTGGGCTGAATGCGCACGCGCGGCAAGAGCTGCGCGCGCATTCAGCCCGTCGCATAGGAAAGCATTTACAATGCTTTCCTATGGACGCTTGCGTGCTCTCACCGTGAAAATCACAGTGAGAAGCACGCAAGCGCCTCTAGTGGCTGTCAATGAGACAGCCACTAGAGGATTAGGGGGAAGGCTTAACCATTAATAAACATAGCAGTTTCTCTGAAACTGCTATGTTTATAAAAAAAAATGGGTTAACCCTAGAAGGACCTTCTAGGACACATTGTTAGTTCCTTGTTCTTATTTTTGTGTTTTACATAAAGTCATGGGAGTAACTAATATAACCATGATTCATGATCCATATTGAACTGTTCCTCTCTTAAAGTGACTCTGTGAGATATGACAAATCCCGTTTAAATGTTCTTTATTATAGCTATACATTTTAGAACCATTCCAACTTGGAAGATATATATAAATATATGAAACCAAGGGGCTGCACTCATCTGAACATGCATAAATAGGGTGCTGCTGGAGGCCAATTTATACAATACATGAGATCCAGCGCACTCACCTATCCACTAAACCGCAACTTCAAAAATAATGCCTAGATTAGGTGTTTTTTAAAAAAACTAATAAAATCTGTCAACATTGAAGTTGCTGTTTAGTGGATAGGTGAGTGCGCTGGATCTTGTGAAATATATATACACAAATCCCCTGCACTCACATATAAAGTATACCACTGCCGGGCGCAAAACCAAGGCTTCAATAGATAGAGAATCCAGTAAGGGAGGCTGCTCTCCGGACGTAAAACTTCAATTTATTATGACAAGTTAAAAATGACGACCTTATGACAAGTTAAAAAAGATGACCAATGTCATCTTCCTCAGGGTCAAACACAACAGGACAACAGAATACAATGCACATACAAGCAATGTATACCATCAATAATTAGTGAAATAGCTCACCAGGGTGTTGTACTTCCATATCCCGCCGACACCAAGTGTAATTCCGGGTATGCGCGTGCACCATATTGCGTGCCCCGCCTCTCATCATGTCATTGTGCGTGCCTAACGTGATAGACGGCCGGAAACCCGGTCACCAGGGCAACCATAAAAAAAAATTAATGTTGTGAACGGGTAGGAAATAAAATGACATGAGAAAAATAGTGAATAGTGGTCGTCATTTTTAACTTGTCATAATAAATTGAAGTTTTAAGTCCAGAGAGCAGCCTCCCTTACTGGAATATATATATATATATATATATATATATATATATATATATATATATATATATATATATATATTATTATTAAAGCTTGGCAGTACTTGCAAAGCAAAAACCAAAAAAAGGTATGGTACCAAAAGAAGATTTTATAATATTATATTTATATATATATATATATATATATATATATATATAAATATAATATTATAAAATCTTCTTTTGGTACCATACCTTTTTTTGGTTTTTGCTTTGCAAGTACTGCCAAGCTTTAATAGCCAACCAGTAACCAACCTCATGCTGATGATGTGCATTAACAATGAAACAGCTGTCCATGAGTGGTTCACTGGCTTTGCATCTTTTCCTAAGTTGTGTTTCCAAGCTGTTGTATACAGCAAACACAGACTCAAAGGAATCCATGTTTAAAATGGAATGAGGCAAAAATGTGATTCTTTGTTAAACTTATTTGCATATGCCCACCCAGAATCCTTTTCGGTAGTTACATCACTGCAAATTTGTGATTTCTGTGGGGAAAAAAGTCTTATGGCTTAATTGGTGTGCAGATTTCTGGTTAACATTGTATTGACTTTGTATAACATTGTGTGTGTGTGTGTGTGTATGTATATATGTGTGTGTGTGTGTGTGTGTGTGTGTGTGTGTGTATATATATATATATATATATATATATATATATACACACATACACACCAAATGATGATAAGATTTGAGCAATGGATTCCTTAACCTTTCAATCTTTTACCTCTGTGTAATTGTTGGTAAGTAAGACCAAGCTTGGCTTGTCCTCAGTTCAGTGGATCTCCTGCGCAAAGTATTCTCAGACACTGTCACAAGCATAGCGGCATTGCAGTAAATTATTAAAAGGTTGTGCTTTGTGGTTCCTCTTACTGGTCTATCGATTTGTCTTCGTTCTGAGTATTTACAGTATCTCCATGCTTTATTTCATCATCCATGCTCCTTCCCTTGTTATGTAACTAAAACCTACTAGAATGAAAGATGTTTTGCAGTACCAGGCTGTAGGGAGTAAGCTTGGAGCTTAGAGGAGCCACCATAACCATATATTGAGGCTAAACTGTCCCCAAAACTTGCAGCCTATTATTGCTGTCCAGGGTGGATGGAATCAAGCCTAGTAATACTGATTTATAGTTTTGAATTAGGAGAGTAGCTGTACAGAGGACAGTCTATGGATGCCTGGGTGTGCCCTGGTTTTTGTCTGACTGTTTCTAAACTATTAATTGTAAAACAGGCAGATGACTGGCATAGTATGTACACTTTAAAGTAGTATGAAATAAGTAACACGTGTTGTTGCAGTCAGTTACCAGTCCATTCAGGGGAACTATTGCGTTAACCTTTAACCTTGTAATTGCACTCACATGGTTAATACTATTGTGTAAGCATCTAGGACCAGGGCACATGTGTGGAATGTCAGGAACGCCTGCTGTTAGTTAACATATGTTAAGAGATAAGTATTTGTGTAGTAGTTGGATGTAACCATTGTAAAATGGGTGTAACGTTTGTATTCTTCGTATACGTATGGAATACGCCATTTACAGTATATATTCTTTATTAATTCACTGCTTGTGGTCCAGTGAATCGTGTTACTGATAAAGGCACTGGAACATTTGCAGCTGGAAATAAACAGTCTTTGTTCTTCAACGACCTGTGTCTGGAGTGTCTTTGCATCATCTCTGACCCGAGAATTCTTCCACAATATTGCTTAGGATTACCTGTCAGGAATAGAAAGGTGACTAGTAGTCCACCTTGTGTTATGTAGATAAAAAAAAAGCTGCTCATCTGCTGGATTGTATTACTTATAACAGGCATGTGGATGAGCGAAAACTTTCAGGCCTGTAGTGTATGAGTGATGGGGACGTGTTTTGTATACGCCGTAAAAGAGACATGCTTCTATCAAAGCAAGTAAGCAGAGAACCCTCCTGGCCAATAACATTTTTTAAAGATGACCACTCAATTGAATGGTAGCCATCTGGAACTATTTTGCACCATTGCATGCATTCTATGCCCTTGGATGGGAGAACTCGGTTCAGTGATGTTTGGGGAAATTTACAATTTTATTTTTCTTGCTTAATATCACACCTTTACCTTTTGGAAAATATATGATCTTCTAATGCAACTCAAATGTCAGGTAACACTGACACACACATTTACACCCAAAGGAAACTAACACATTTACACACAGAAAAAAACAAACACACAAACATATAGCTTTGGAGCATAAGTGGAAAGGAGAGTAGCAGCAGTGGGGGTGTAGGGGTTATAGTTGGGGTATATGGTTTATTGTGAGAGGATAGTGGATTTAGTGGGGGAATAGGGGTTGTAGTAAAAGGATAGTGGCTATAGTTAGGGAATAAGGACAGCGGTGAGTTTTTTGGGACTCTAGTGGAAAAAGGGGGTGTTTATAGTGGCTGTATGGGGGAAATAATTGTGTAATAGTGTAGGAAGAGGGGATGTAGGGGGAAAGATGGTGGCTATAGTAATGTAATAAGGACTGCAGTGGGTTTTTAGGGTCTGTAGTGGGGAAAAAGGGGGGTTATAATGGCTGTAGTGGGGAATAAAGGTTGTAGTGGGGTGATACTGTCTGTAGTGGGAGATAGGGGTTTTAGTGGGGAATAGAGGATGTAATGGGGGCATATGGGCTGTACTGGGGGATAGGGGATATATTAGGAGTATATTTTTGTTTAAAAAAACTAAACTAAAGATGAATCCTTCCTTCGTGCTTCGTTTTAATTTTTCCCCTATATATCTTGAATCTTTAACGCATGACATTATCATTTGATTGGATGAAATGAATGATAGTGTATTAAGCAGTCAACATCAAGAGAATGTGTGCATCCCACTCCATAGCTTGAAATAAAGCTGGTGTAGCTTGGTGTGTACACTATCTTTTGCTTCTTGTATTTCCTTACTGAGATTGACATTTCAAGTGAATACATATTTTTTTTTTCAATGCTAGAGGTAAATAACAGAGGCTTTTCATGTATGCGTTTATGCTGTTCTAAACAGCTGTGCGTCATCTAAGGTAATTCTGTTTTTGATGAAAGACAGTAGTGTGCATATATGTCATACATAAAATGCACTTACATATCTTGCCTAATGATGATGAAAGCTTTCTGATGCAATAATTTACTGGTTACTCTGCTTGTGTAATGATAGCTTTTGAATATAAACGTGATAATTTAAGGTCTAAAATTATAAGTAATCCTTGTCTCTGTAGTCACGAACATTTTTGCAAACTCTGAAATTATTTCAATGGAAGAACAATAGGCAGTTTATTGTGTCGAAATATTGACTTGCACGGCCATATAAAAGGATCTATATTGCAAAGTACAGCAATATTTCCCGTTGTTTAGTTGGTAGGGTGCTCTTTGTAAAATTAATGATTTGTGCAAGCTGACAAAGGGGAATAGAGTGCACCTGAAGCTTGTCATCATATTCCTACCTGTATAGTGCCACTGTCTGCCTACTTCGCCCTGGATAAAGTCCCAGTATGGAAAAGGATGCTGTTAACAGAAAGGTCAAATGGTATTTTCAGATACCTGAACCTCTTATTTTAAGCTCATTAGTACTAATTACAAATGTCCTGAGACACAAACAAGCAAATACACAGCACAGACAATACTGTAAGTAAAGCAAGTGTGAGCTTTTACAGACTTTTGCATCATGTGATGCAAACACAGCAACCACGGTTAATTGACTGAAATTCAAGTTTTGCAGTGTAGCCCCTGTCTCACTTCTCTTAGCATTATAATAGTTTGTTTGTTTTGGAAATAATGCATAATATTCAGTCAAGAGTGAACTGTTGTGTTCCTAGTCTCAATGTTTCTATAAGATGTATTCCTCTTGATAATGAAGCCCCCTACTTTAGTGTAGGTAGAGTTCTGGAACTCATAGAATATTTTTTGTTATTCATGAAGATTACACATGTAGTCTGAAAACAACATGTAAAACAGTATTTAGCTATGAACTTGCTGACAACAATGATGTCTAAATTTGGAATTCCTATTACAGCAGACCACATTTCCTTGATTTCTTTGAATATCAGTCAAGTAAATGGAAAGTTTGTCATCACTTTAACTTTGGCAATAGGTCGAACCAGATCTAGGCAACATTCACATAAATGCACCCCCGTGTCAATGCACAGACTTTTGAGAATATTTGTAAAGTAAGTCTGTTTGGATAAATGTCTGTTACAAAATCAAGTATTTTCAAGAGATGTATAAGGGTAAAGCAATCAAGGGTTTGAAATTGATGGTGTACCTGTCATTCGTATAACAACATAAGGGCATAACGATATATATCTCTACATTGTGCTAGCAAATTTGTTATCAAATGTATAGATTGGAAGCTTAGCCTTGCACCTGATTCCAGGTACGTTTATTGCTTTTTATTAGAGTGAATTTTAACCAATGAGGGTGTGAGGAAACATAG